CTCCTGGGTTGCATTTCCTGCAAAGTTTGAGACAACACAGCTGTAAAGACCTTCATCGCCAAGTCTTACTGGTATAAACCTGAGAGTAGTGCCATCAGTTGATAATGACATATTTTTCTTCAGCACTAATGGTGATCCATTCTAAAAGTTAGAAACTTTTACACATGACAGTTCTGCTTATAAATTACACCAGAAGTACTAGCTGGTTATTTACTTATCCATAAAATTTTTATTCTGTGTAAGTTCAAAGATAATCTTTTGTTTGATATTTCTGCATCGATAAGTTACAAAGCATTTTATAACTTTTTATAGTGCCTAGTCGTTTCTTAATCACCTTGCACGAGTCAACTAAAGCTCATCAAATTTGATAACACATTGCAATTCAGAGCAACTAATTGTTTACTTCTGGAGTAGGCTAATTATGCGTGAGAATGTCCACCTATATTACAAAAATAAGGTTTTCACCGGAAAGTTTATAAAAAAGTACTCTCCTGAATAGGAGAATACTGTGAAAGATTTATCCGGATTGTAAAAGTGGCGTTTCGTAAAATTCTGAAGAGAGGAACTTTGAATGAAAAAATCAAAAATTGATTTTGAACTTAGCAGCAGTTCCAAATTCACAAACTCTTATGCGTTTACGATGACCCACCTGTAATTATTACTCATTGAATTGATTTTTTGTGTTTTGGATTAGCTATGAGAACGATAACAACAGGAGTACACGAAGGTCCTAATTACTTATCAACTCAGAAAACACAGATTCCTCAATTTTGGTGAAAGAAATTTGGTTATAATCGACAGTTATTAAGATTGTTTTCACGAGGAGTACTTTTTAGCTTAGAAGAAAACACACTGCGTAAGAAGAACAAGGAGTTGTTGAGGTGATGTAATACTGGTTAAAAAACCCGTCTTTAAGCGTTGGGAAAGAAGTTGGGCAAAGTCAACGGTTAAATCAAAACCGTAAAAGCCTTCCTTGAAAAAGCAAGTTAGCTGAACTGCTATCAAGTGTCTTTTGCTGCATAAAGTCTAGCGTTATTTTAACTTCTTAAATTTTAATGTGTTATGTAACCTTCAGGGTTTCTTATTAGTTCTATTTTCAAAAAAGAAAGCAGATATTTGTAATTTAAATGTTTAATTGTTTCGAATTTTTTTCATATTATCCCTTCTCGTCAAAAAATTTTGTCTTTAATAATTTTATGCTGCTAATGCGCGCTAGTATGTTTTGTTTTCATCCTTTGACTACTTTGTTTAAAGTTTTTTCCAGCTATTATTAAATTATTTTTATTATTTTCTTCCAACTACAATTCTAAATAAGGCCAGTAAGATTCAAGGTAAAAATCTTTAAAAACTACCAATAAAAATGAAACAAATCAACTTTCAAAAAATGCGTGCATCAGAATTAAAGAAGTTATCAATCTCAGAATACGTTGTCATCATCCAATTGCAACTGAAGACTTTGCAGAAGAAGCTTTGCACAAATGCAGAGACTTGAAGGTGGGATTTCTGGTCGAAATGAATGGCTTACTAACACTAAGCTAGGAGACTTTGTATTTACTAACTAGCTCAATTTTTGACTGATAAATTAGAGCCACGTATTACTGATAAGTAAAGAGAAATCTCGCTATAGATATGTTCATGTGCAGTAAAAACAGTAACTTGAATGTAACAAGGCGTTGCTGTGGTACGATGATGACCTATAATATTTCAAACATTTGACAAGAGTCCCAGAAAAGACAATTGAATTAAAATTGAAGTCATTCGAAGAACATTATCAGAAAGGCTTTGCTCCTGATGCAGTTTGAGACCTGACATTGGCCAGTATCAGAATTGAAACAGAAGAAAAATTTTTACTAAATGGAAAAACTTTTAATAAAGAGAGACACAATTTGTGCTTAAAAGCAGTATTTTACGCAGGTCTTAAAAAAGCAGGACTGCAATTCTACTTCTAATGGTATACATCTGAATTATTACAAAACATCACGTTTATTTTTGCAAAATATTACGGTTACCCTCATGGCATACCCATTTTTCTCTGCTAGACATACTTGTTGACAAATACTACTGACAACTATTAATTACTGCAACGTTTTAAGCCTTCAAAATGGTTGACTGTTTAAAAATTTAATTGGTTGTTATATGGCTCTCTCCATTGCTAATGACGTCACTGTTGATTAACGTCTCTTACGCTAGGCACTTACTCAGCGTGTTTTATTGAAATATTCTTACAAGAACCATCTATACCTGCAGAAGAAACGTATTTTTACAAACCAGAAAATACAAGCAGAATCAATTTTTATGTTGAATTGAGGTTTATTTTCTAGCAATAAAGTTTTTTTCTTATAACGACGTTTACCTGTCACAAAACAGTCAAATATTTCTCATTATGTTGTCTTCTAGGTGTAAATTGCTGCTCAGCAATAAAACTAAAAACTTATCCTTATTTGGTTAACAAAATGTTACTTTTTCTGATAACTCTTCACTTTATAACATGCGAGATGTGATAGCTGATAACGCATGCGCTTTCGTTCGTAGAGGAAAAATAAGTAAAGTTTTTCAGTTTAATTCAATCACTGAAGACGTTACATCATATTCAAGATGTATGGAAAAATAGTTAGAGCAGCAAAATCACCTGCTGCTACTCTTACAAATCAAGTTGTTTGCGAGAAGCGGGCTTTTCAGAACTTATAAAAGTCGAACTGTTTTGTTTTCAATTTCAATTTTGGTTTTTTCAGTTGCCTTCGAGACAACAAGAGTAAACTTTTTCGTTTTCATGTTTGCCGTTGTTTTATCCTAGGTCTGAAAAGTGTTATGTGAATGATTTCAACATCAGAGATGAATGGCGTTTAAAACAAAAATTGAAGAGAATCCAAAGGTGAATAATTTCTTTGGGAAAAATATCCAAGTGAAAAATCGTGATGTTAATTCCAAATGTGTTTCCGTGTTGTAAGTTCCATGTCTTACTTCATCATTAAAGTATCTATTTAATTTGTATTTAGATTTTTAATCGTTTTTTTATATTGTATCTTCCTACGGGCTCGTTTCAGGTCTCTGGAGTGTCGCTACTTCACGAGAACGCTCTATAGTTAAATACAGAGTTTAATTTCACTAACCGTCTCCCGAAGGAAAACCTTTTAAGGGACGGTAGATTTGACTACAAGAACTTAGACCGAAGGCAACAAACAGAGAAATCGCGTCTTTAAAGCTCAATTATCAAATCGGAAACTATAAAAGTACTATATTTACTATTGATTACTTCTGGTCTTCCATTTTAGCTTCCCTATTGATGTCAGTGAAGATAGTTTTTAGTTTTCAAGATTAAAACTGTCTATTGAGTTTATTTTGTATTGGTTTTTTTCCTATTTATCATTTTTTTAGACTATATTTGTTATTGGTTTATTTAGAGCAGAAGTATGTGCACATTATTTGTACAAACTACTAAACATCTGTACGATTATTCGTAGCGCACACTGAGTTGTACCGCTATATCTATTAGTAGTTCTCCCCTATATAGAAATCATCGTTGAAATAAGTAGGTTGTTATTGTCGTTAAGTAGGATTCTCAAGGATTATTAATGTTTAGAGAGTCTGAGATCTTTGAAGAATACGAAAAAGTAGAGTTAACAAAGTTAATGATTGATACTTAAGGTCCTATAAGTTAATTACACTTGCAGCAACAGTATATTTAAAAAACTCATAGAAATGCCAAAAGAATAACTACAATAATTATTTTGCAATTTAGGAAGGTTGTTGGTCAAACACCCCAGATCACTTAATGTACTGCCCTCCAGAAGGTTTCGGGTAAAAGTGCGTGGCATATTTCGACGCTTCACAACTGTTTTATTAACTCTCATAAGATGCCTAGAAAAATTTAAATAAAGCTCGCACGTGCACAGCTTTCAAAACAACTTTTTGGCAGCTCAATTTAAAAAAAATATTTCTCTAGAAACTTATCAACAACATCTGTATAGTTTTTTCTCGAAATTAGGTGATAGACAGTTAAAAAAATCTAGCTCTTTTTCAGTTCTTTATGAAGCATTGAAGGCGAGTGAATAAAGGAACGCCTCAAGGTGGATAAATAAAGGAACAGCATAGCAGGTAAAAAGAGTTGAATTGTTCAATGTCTTATATTTAATAAGCTGGAAAATACGCTTAGAACAATAATAATCCTAAGCCAGTCTTCTAAAAATAAGACGTCTCATCTGAACAAGAAGCTATGTAACTTTTTCAACCAGATGAACAAATTAAAAAGATGTTTTAAAAGTCATAAGAAAACAGAAAGCACTTTTATCTTTCCATAAAAAAGCTAGTGCGTATAGGCAGCAAAATTAGATGTTAAAAATTGTTTTTTTTTTTGTGACTTCGGCTTTTAGAAAAACAAATAGACTGATAAATATATCCACGAAGTTTTTAAGTTTGAAAGGCGTTAAATAGTCTTAAAAGCCTTAAAAATAGTCTCAAGAAAACTTGCAGCCAGAAAAAAAAGACTTTGGGAAAGTGACGTTGGTCATTGCGAAATGCTTTTTATCGGTAAGCTATTAGTAAGGTACTTATTTTGTACCACAATAACAAAACCTACCTTGTACCACTTAGTTTGAGTTTTTTCACCATCTATTTGACAGTATAATGATGTATTGTTACCGTCTGTTTGGTTGACCATAATTTTTTTGGCACTAGGTGGAACTCTTGGAGGACCTGGAATACGAAGTTTATACTGAAAAAAGTACACCAGACATTAAACAGACCATTTTGAAAAATGCAGTTTTTTATTAACACTGTAGGAGTGTAATTTTACTAAACAGCTTATTACACATTTTGTAAGCGTTTTTAAAACAGAACTCATTGTTTTGACGATGTAGATTTTGGAATCTTTTCCCGCTTTATTAATGGCTGAACACTCAAATCTATATGCTTTATCCTCTTCAGCTTTCGTGATGAACAGAGTACCATCGTCTGCTGCAAACAGTTTTAGAAAAAAGATTTTTAATTATTCATCTATACCCAACTGATGTATGAACGATAAAGTTATCAACAGAAAATCTACCAATGTTATATCCTTCGACATCTTCAAGTGTTGTGCCATTTAAAAACCAATGTATTTCTGGATACGGCAAACCACCAGCTCCGCATTTCAAGCTGAATGGCTTATTAACTTTGACTACTGATTCTGGTGGAGATGCTGACGTAATACGTGGTGGTACTGAAAACAGTGCACACGTAGCTTTTGGCGTCCAAAAACAATGTCTAAAGAATTTAAAGAAGCTTTTTACCGAGTACTTCCAAGGTAAATGCTTGTCTGGCTTCACTGGCTTCATTAGTTGCTGTGCAGAGATATATACCAGAATCAGATGTTCGAACGTCTGCGATCGTCAAAGTCTAAATACATGTAATGTATATTCAATGATATCACAGTGCAGCACACTTAATTATGACTGTTTGTAGACCATTATCACACAGAACAATTTGAAATATCTTTTTTCACCTTGTCGTCTACAACGTATTTTCCGGGAACTGTGTCAACTAGAATCCCATTTCTCTGCCAGTGAATCAATGGCGCTGGTTCACCAGTAGCATCACAGAAAATGTTTGCTGTTTCTCCTTCAATCACCTGAGTTGTTCCACCATTCAAAATAGATGGTACCTCTGAAAGACGAAAAATATATTAAAATCATAAATTCGCAACTTTCTGCGACTTTAGTGTACCCTTAAAAAATTTAACGTTGAGAATTTCTACTTAGTTTCCGACTCTAAGGTACTGATAGTTCTAAAATGAAATTAGTTGCTAGGTGTTTAAGATCTAAATTTTGAGGTTAAAAAAAATTTCTATAAGCATTAGTGCAAACTTACGAAAAACAGAGACTGTATATACAAGTTCATCAAGATTTACAACATTTTTAGCAACACACTTATAGATGCCACGATCAGCCAACGATATTTTGACAATCTAGAAAACTTTTACTTGCTATAAGAACCACGTTAGCAAAAATACCTCCAGCAACAACGAATTAAAAGCAAAAATGAGAACCTGAATGTATCGTCCGCCTTCACCAATAATAATTTTGTCCGTACTACCAGTGATTTCTGTATTATTGAAATACCTAAAAACTACATCTGTTTCTACTGTATGATTTCTAAAATTTTTTTGCTATAATATAAATGATAAAAAGCTATTGAAATAAAGCTAACAATTACAATTTGAGGAAAAAATTAGCTCATTTTTAGAAAGAAAAAGAACTTTGCAATGCTGCAAGATATCTTATGCATCAAAAATAAACAAAATATCTTTGTCATTAATCTAACTCACCACTGAATTTCTGGGAAAGGCTTTCCGCTGGCTTCGCAATACAAAGTTGGCGTGTGAGAAACAGGTAAACGGGGACTCATATCAATGCCATCACGATTGATCAATGGAGGAACTAAAAGTTGATCAAAAATTAGTCATGACAGCTTTGTAATAAACTTGGATCACTATGAATATTTATTGTGAACTAAGACTATGATACTAAAAACATGATTTTCTAGCTAACCTAAAACATCTACAGAAGCGGTGTCTGAGCCAGGTCCAGCTTCGTTATTGGCTTCACAAGTATAGTCACCGACATGAGTCTGCTGTAAACGTGGAATGTCCAGTCGGTCACCTCTCATGGATATACGAGCTCCTAAAAGATTACTTTGAGAAATTCATAGGAGCATTCACCCCAGTAACTTCCAAATAAATAGTAAGACTTTCGAAGCGTGGGCTCATACACTTTTTCTGTGAGCTGCCTAACATCAAAATCTTAGGTAACTTTAAATCTCGACTGTAAATAATTTTAAGTGTAGTAAAACTACACTGTAAGTTTTTTTTCTTTGGAAACGCACCATCAATTGATGATATTAGAGGTTGACCATCTTTCATCCACGTCAACGTTGATGGTGGATTTCCCTTAGCTTCGCATATCAGTGTAACTGATTCTCCAATTGGTTTCACAGCATTCTTCGGTGTAATCGTGACAATTGGAGTGGCTTAAATGTAATAAATGCTAACTGCATCCAACCTCCTTCTTATTTGTTTTTTCACGTCGAAATTGAAAAACTCATTATAAGCAGAGATGCTGATATGCAAATTGAAGAGAAAGCTAACTCCAAACGTCCAAAGTGAATTCTAGATGTTTTTTGCCAGCGTCATTTTCTGCTTCGCATCTCCATAGTCCACGATGTTCATTTTTGACTTCCGTAATTTCCAATCCTGCATTCTGTCATTTAACTTAACAGGTCAACATTTTCAAAGAAATAAAACAATTGTAAAAGTAGCCGGTTAAGTGTCATTGTGAATGATAACTAAAAAAGTACAGAAACCTTGCCCTCCTTCCAAGATACGAATACCGTTGTCTGTATTGCTGGTCTCTTCTTTGCCATCTTTGTACCAACGAATTGTTGGATAAGGATGTCCAGTAGCCGAACACCATAACGTTATTGGTTTGCCCAGCATAACGTGCGGGTGTAAATCGGTATTTGCATTACTTAATGTTGGAGCAGCTGAATCAAGCTTGTGTAGTTTTTATACTTAGCAGGTAACTAAGATGCTAAAAATCATAAAACAGTCTTAGTTAAGCTAATATTGATAATCATATTTTCAAAAAAATGCTAAATTTTCAAAGTAAACTTTTTTAGAGTTTCCAATATATTTCTTAAAAAATAACTTTTAAGCATTTTAACCTTAAAAAATATCAATTAACTAAGGCTGTGCACTAGCAAATACAGGTAGGAGTATATTTTTCGTCATTTTTTCTAGGATTTACAGTTTCACTTCTGCTCAGTAAGAAATCCCATAAAATCTTATTTTACTATCATCTTTGCTACTAGTACTATAGCTTCTAAGAACTTATTATTGTAAAACAGTGACTTATTCTCCACCACAACAATTAATGAATATTAGTGTAAGTTAGTTGGCATACATAGTTTTTCACAGTTAGTTTGTTGAATTGTTATTGGGCAGCATTTATATGGCAATACTACTCAACAATTTAATACAAAACAGAAAACAGTTGTAGCACTGCAAATCTTAAACAGTAATTGCGCTAATATCATACTGAAGCAATAGTCACAAAATTTTGTTCATGCAAACCTTATTTACGACATTTTTGAAACTTTAGTGTAATATAGCAAAAACAGTTACCATTAAATTGCGTTTGCATTAGGCGAGTAAAAACAGAGTTGGAGAACGCTTCTTACCTCTATGATCGAAAGAAATAACCAAAAGTAGTTTAGGTCAGTAACAGATTAACAAGCATGCGGTGCAGTCGTATAAATGCCAAACAAAACGCATAGCGTATAACTTATTGTACGCACAGCATAATTGAAAACAATTTGAAAGTGGTGAAGCTGAAATGCTATCAGTCAATTAATTGTCTGAAAAAAGCACGATTAAGTTTCTTCTGTTACTGTGATTTACAGACGTTAATCTGCATAAGCAACAGTTTTCCAGCCTTAAAAGCGATCAAGCAAGTTTAGACACATATAAGAGCTGCAAATGCTAGTTATGCACAAGGCATTTTCAAAGAGAGAATTGCAAAACAAATATTTTTAAAATATTGTTGAATTTAAAACCTTTACGGTAATATAATGCTAAGCTTCGTAATCTAAGATCTTACAGATGACACTAAAAAATAATTTCTTTTCAAATCTTTGTGAAACAGTAATAAGTATTATTTTCAGCAAAAAAACGACTGTGCTGAACTTTACTGCTAAAATTTAATAGTTTCTAGATCGAAAACTTATTTGGGGACTTGCAAAATACTTATATAGTTCTTTCAGCCTACTGCACCGTGACAATAAGAACCGATGAATTTAATCTAACTTTAAAAGTGATACTTGTTACCCTGAGAAGTTTAAGTACAACAGCGACAAAAACTGTCGAATACTTGAACTTACAACATGTTACTTACCGCCAGTTTATTTAAAGAATCGCAGTAGTAAATTTAAGTAACTTGTAAAGAATATCAATAAGTGCAAAACTATAAATCATTGCTTGTTCCCCAAAAAGGAACCTTATTGAAATTAAATTGTTTTTAAAATCTGATGCTAACTAGTGTATTCCACTCTTACATTAACTTCTTAAGCTCATAACGGTTACAATGACCAGTTTAGAAACCCTACAAAGTATTTCCACTGTAAAGTCCATATGTCTTTCGCCAGCCCGATTGAACGCATAACAAGAGTAATTGCCAGCATCTGACACTGTTGCTTTCATTATGTGTAGTTTCTTAGAGTCACTCGAGAGCTGCAAATCAAAAATAAATTTTTTTAAAGTTTACTTTAACTTAAAAGTACATGAAAAAAATTCTAAATTTACCTTTACATTTTGTTGCACAGTAGCATCGATTGACCTGTTGTCTTTGTACCATATTATCTGAGCTGGTGCTCTATTCTCCAACGATTTACGCACGGGACAAGTCAATACAAAGTTATCATCCTCACTTTTCACAATTTTTTGCGTCCCATGACTGTCCATCTCAGGAGCCACTAAAAACTTTCTCAGTTTTTTTGAGAACTGTTTGGGTATGATTAAAAAGCCAGTTATGAGGAAAAAACTGATGCTGGTATATAAAAGTAACAGAAAAAAAAATAGAACAGTTTTCAAATTTAGAAATGGTATTGCTATCAAAAGTTTTTGCATATTCATATTCTGACTGCAGAAGAAACTGGAAGAAGTGATATTAGGATAAATGTTTATAAGTCTCTTCTACCCAAGACTTCCAGATCAAACTCTTGTGTATCGTATCCTCCTTTGTTTTCAGCTAAACAGTAATAATGGCCCTCATCACCAATCATGACATTGTTGATTCCAAAGGTCTGATTATTCTACAACAGCAATTTAAAGATTTTTTCATTTTAAAGGTAAGCAACCGAATAAATTTTCAGCGAATACAAAATTGATAATAGTTGCAGCTATGCCTACAAGTATTTACAGTAGCTTGACAATTGTTAAAATAATCTTTCAAAAAAATTTTTTTTGGGCAAGACGACACTTGCAAGCATGCTATATTTAAATTTTTAAACCTCTCCAATGGTCAAAAAGTAAAAATATAAGAGTACCTCAGTTACACTAAGTCGTGGATCAGCTGGGTCTATCTCATCACCTTCTCTAAACCATTTAACCGTAGGTGGCGGGATACCACTAACAGGGCACTCCAAAAAGATTGAGCTAAATACATCATTATTTGTAAAATAAAGATCTGGCATAGAACAGTAATCAAGACTATAATGAAAAAAAATTGAGGGTGACAACCTTCCAGCGTTAGCAAGCGGATTGCCAATGACGTTTGATTTATCAATTACTGGTGGCACTAAAACTTTCAATTGCATATCGACTTGAGCACTACCCGCTTCGTTAATTGCTTTACAAGTGTATTTACCACCATCACTCAACTGAGCGCCGCGAATCGTCAGTTGCTGAAAAATTTCAAGCGATAAAGATGAAAGCCGTTTTCTACACCGCTCCGACGTATAAAACGAATCGGCAGCAGAAATGTCCCGCCCCCGGTCCCCCTCAAAGAAGATGGTTTTTTCCCTTCCTCTGTAATGAGATTCACTTCCTTCCCTTGGTAACCACTTTCTCCTTCGGGGTTACCATCTGAAGAGAAGAAGACAGACGTGCTCTGGTAGTAGAGTATTGTGTGAAGCAGAAAATGGTCAAGAAACTTGATGGAAGAACTGTGCAGGTAGTTACTGAACATAACTAACAACGAAATAAAAAATAGCACAGTTGAAAACAGTACGTCTTCTTTTCCCTGTCTGCTCTTCAGATCTCCTTCTCCTTCCCTCCCCCCTCCCCCCCACCCCGTCTTCGAAGCTTTTTTAATTTTCATTTTTCTTAGTCAAAGAAAAGCGACGGAAGATTTTTATGATCACAAAAATTTAAACTTCTAATCGACAGTGTAAGCTACAACTACAAAAACTCAAGATTAAGCGTTCCGTAAGCTAAACGGATGTGATAACTAAAAGTGAGCAAAATCCCCACTAGTCACTTAAATAACAATAACCAACACGAACTGAATCAATAATGCTCATTTACTTTTAAATACGAGTAGGGGAAGCTAAAAACCAAACAATACAAGCGTTTTTAGAGGCTTGTGTAGAAACTGTTTTGGCAGAAATGATACTTTAATTAGTATCATAAAAGTATCATAATTAATAATCTTACTTCTCCACTTGATGAAATTAGTTTATTTTCGGACAAATAAAGTGGGGAGTCTTTGTAATACCATAAGATGTCTGGTTTCGGTTCAGCTCGGAATGTACAATCCATTGTAACAGTTTCGCCAACTTTGACTTCGTACTCCAAGTTTCCGTCATGAGGCCATTTTGGTGGCCCTAAATTATGCTGCTTAACGATCACTTTGGCAGAAAAAAAAAAGCAGAAATTGTCATTTTTGCTGATTGTCGTCTCAAGACTTTTAAAAAATAAAGTATGACAATGAAATAGTAAAACTGTGCAGATATTTTACCAATAACTTCCAACTCCAAATCTGTACTTAGGCTTCCTGCTTCATTTTCAGCAAAACAGGTGTAACGGCCTGCATCAGATTCCTGTAACCACGTCTTTCTTACTGACTTATATTTTTTTTATTATTATTCTAATAAAAAGATTAGGTGAAACATTTGCTGATAGTGATTAACAAAATTTTGCTGACCAAAGCATTTTCAATTTGAAGATCATTTTGATTGACAATTTTGTATCGTTCTCCAGAGATAGGCATATTCTTGTATCTCCATGTAACCTTGGAAAATAATGACAACTTTTAGAGAAGATACTACAGTTCTTTAAAGTATATTGGGTCCTCAAACTTATATAATTCATTATACTTTACTGAAGAGACACCAAAATAATGTAGTTCTCGATAGCAGTTTGTATGTTTGTAAAACAAACAGACTTTTGGCTGAGAAATCCCAAGAACGGGACAGCGCAAAACGATAGTTCTGTTGTTAACAACACGAGGATTCTGGTCTATAGCCTCCTCAATGTATGGCTTCACTAGAACTGTTAATTTAAATGGAGCCTCAGCTGGACCGGCAAAGTTTTCTGCTACACAGGAGTAACCTCCAGCATCTGATCTAGACTTCAAGAGCCTAATCACACAAAGAAACACAACAGGCATTACATTAACTGACTCAAGAAGGGCTTTATTAAGAACAGTTAGCTGTAAAAACTTTTTTGTAATAAAAACTTAATTTTCTACTAAACTCACCTTCTTGATTTCAAAATCATCAGAGTTTCACCATGGGGACTTAATATGGAGTTGTGCATCGTTTCAATAGGCCGTCCACCACGTAACCACCTAAAATTGTTGCGTATAAGATAGAATGAGCTCAAAAATAATTATTTTATTAAAAACTCTTCAATAAATTTTGTTTAGTAATCCGCGTCATACAACACAAGCAGAGACTTTATTAAATAGGTCTGTCAAACTTACGTAATAACCGGAGGAGGATGTCCTTCAGCTTTGCATTCTAAACGAGCACGTTCACCTTCTATTACACGAACTTCAGACTCCAAATCCTTGAAACGTGGTTTGATGAAGACATCTACTTCAAAATTGGCAGTAGCTTTTCCTGCTTCATTTACAGCCTCACATGAGTAACTGCAACAGGTATTAACAATTTCCCCAAATACCATTCTGTGACAGTTTATAAAACAAAAATAAACTTTAGAAGCATCGACAAAAAATTTTTGTTATTAAGCGAAAACTATGTTGATTACCTTCCGGCATCTGATGCTTGTGCTGCTTCTATTACCAAACGTGGACCCTCAAATGACTTTATTAGCACGCCATTTCGTAACCATGATATCTTCGGTGTTGGATTACCAGATGCCACACAGTCTAATGATAGCGTCGTATTTTCCTTTACTTGTACCAAACGTTCGCTGGAAGCGATTGACGGGACTACTGCAATTGTAACAACTTTTAAGTCTAAATAGATGACAGAATTCTTATTTTTAATTCAAACCAAACCTAAAAGTTAAAAACGAAATTCTTCTTGCTGACATAGTTTGACTTACTTTTGTTTGTGGTTTTAAGCGGTATCGTAAGCTTTAATTTTAGGTTTGACGACCTGGGACATTACTGTGCCAGTAAGAGCTTGAAAACTTGCGCTAATAAGCCAAAAACTTACCGCACAATTTTTTTGATAGTTTGCATGTATGTGATACATATAAATAATGCAACAAAGTTCACCGCCGTCTATTGAACAACGGCAGAAATATCAAATTTTTTTTGAAACTGCTTCAACTCTTAGCGCGTCTTTCAGACTCGGTTCAATTTCTTTTGTTATCTTATACAAAAAAATATCTGAAACTCTTCACTTCTTCTATCATTTTTCAATTAGCTTAAGTTCCTTCTCAACTCTTAAAGCTGAAAGAATGTTTCTAAATGTGTAACTAAAAGCCATACTCAAGTTCACTCACTTTCCTTATTTTAAAAGCCAAAATTTCCAAAAAAAAAAAAAAAAAAAAAAAAAAA